GTTGAGTTGGTTCTTGCCCACAACATAGCCCGTAGACGCTGTGATGAACAGTGGCCACACGACCAGAAATGGTGTCAGCAACTGGCGCGTCCGCCCGCTGAAACGGAAGCCAAGCCAGAATATCCGCGTCGACGCCTCGGCCGGCGCCTGCGAGGGAGCGAAGAGTCGGAACCCTCCGCCTCCGCCAGTTAGAACACCTCCGTCGACGCCTCCGCGGGCGCGAGGGCCGCGGCGGCCGGCCGCGGCCGCCAGGCGCGCAGGAGGAGCGCCCAGGCCGCCATCCACGCGGCCATGCCGACCGCGCCCGCGACGTAGAGCGCGTGGAACCCGCGCGCCTTGACGATGCGGCCGCCCACCCAGGACCCGGCGCCGACGCCGAGATAATAGTAGACGCCGCGGAGCAGCGCCTGGGCGCCGCCCTGGCGCTCGACGGGCGCCGCGGTCCGCGCGTACTCGACGGCCGCGGACCACATGAGCGCGAAGGTGACCGCGTGCGACGGCTCGAGGAGCAAAAAGTACCAAAAGCCGCGGTCGTCGTCGACGCAGCCCGGTAAAAACGCGTAGGCGGCGCAGCGGAGCGCGAAGAGGCCCTGCGCGAAGACGAGTAATCGCCGCACGCCGAAGCGGTCGAGCAGGCGTCTCCGGCGGGACGTCCGGCGCCTTCGTGGGCGTGAGCGTGGCCTCGTCGGGGAGGGCCGGGGCGGGCGCGGCCGGCGCGGCGTCGCCCAAACCCAGGAGGTCGGGCTCGGCCGCCGCGAAGCCCTCGTCGTCGTCGTCGTCGTCGTCGTCGACGTCGTCGTCGCGCTTGGGCTTGGGCGCGCGCTCCTCGTCGCTGTCCTCGGCGCGCGCGGCGCCGGGCACGGACGCGCGCTTCCGGGCCTTGGCGGCCTCGGCCGTCGACCGGCTCGCGTCGGCGACGCTCAGGAAGATGCTCGGATCGACGATCGCGTGCGCGCCCTCGTCGCCGGCCTTGATCTGCGCCTCGACGGTCCAGAGGATCGTCGCCACGTCCGCGCCCGACGTGATGCCCAGCTGCGCGAGGCACTCGTTCGTCACGAGGCAGAGCAGCACGCGCCCGTTGATGCGCTTCGCCGCGACCTCGTCGTGGTAGCGCCCGAGGCCCAAGGGGGGATCCTCAGAGCGACCGC